TTGCCTTTATGGTCAAAGTCCAAGTTCTCACTGCCAACCATTAACTTACTACCGTCTTCGTAACGTGGACCGTATGTGTAGTCTATCACCTTTTTATTACCACCCATATCCTTGATAAACCATGTCATATATTGTTGTGTTAGTGGATTGTCAAAGTATTCCTCAATAAACTGAGTAGTAGAGGCTAAATTAGTTGGTGTGAAGACAAGTTCGGTAAATTCTGATTCTTTAGGCCTTATAGGGGTGGCTGGTGGTTCAACTACCCTCATAGGGGTGGATGAAGCTGGTGGTTCAGTTACTATTTCATTTTCCGAATCTGTTGTTTCATAGTCCATAGGCTCTTCCTTAACTTCACTTTTGATTAGCGGTACTGGAGGGGTAGCTTTTCTCAACTCCTGTATAATGGGTCTGTACTGTTTTTCCAGCTGTAAATCTGTATCCTCCGTACCCTCTTTAAACATTTTGTACTTGCGTTTAATAGCCTTTCTAAGCTCAATAAGTCGAGCAGTTAGTTGTTGTTTATCCTTGGAACTCATATTTGCAAATGAAGTATATCAGCATGCATATATAGTTTTATGGGGTTTCAACTTGCCTAAAAAATACTGCACGCCTTTTATTCTTTTTTAAATACCATATAATATCTAACAGAGTTACTTCTGTACTCAAGTCTAGGCCTTGATAATATTGTCTTACTTTGGCATCAAATCTTGGTATTTGGTATTTACCGGTAAAACTTTTAAATACAAATGTTCGTTTCCAACCATCTCTCCACTGAGGTATTTCAGCTACTGTATACTTGTCACTTTCAATCGTCTTTTCCATATATTTTTTAAGTAACTCAATTGGTCTTTGTTCGCGTACATGGTCTAGTAGAAACGAGTTTAATAGCCAAAATTCACTAGGGTTAGATCCGGTAAATGCTCTCCACTGATCAAATAGCACATGGTTTGTAACACTATACACACCATTATTAAAGGAGATGCCAAACTTCTCACAATATTTAGGTACTGCCGGTAGTGCAACTTTAAGAAACTCAGTAGTATAAGATCCCTGACAGAGGTTGTTTACACCGCCGAAGGGTTTGTTTCTGTAACCTTTAGGCAGCCCATCAGGAACTTTAGCATAGTTTACATTGTAACTTATGTCAATGTGACATTTTAGATCCAAAATACGTTTATATAATTTAAAAGGTGATGTTATAGGGATAGTTCTTTCGGTTAATAGTACACACCGGGTGGCATAGGGTATCTTACAACCATACTCTAACATTTTATTACATATCTGTGTAAAGTTTACACTGCCATGAAGGTTGCGCAATGGTAAGGCTTTACCAAACACATCCGGGAACGGTCGAAATCTCGATATTAAATTTTGTGGGTCCCTAACTGTGCAATTAGCCATATCTTCGTGATATATTACAAATTCTAAAGGAACAGCCCTCTCTTGGCATCTAAACAAAAAATTTAACCATGTATCTCTATTGTATGTTCGTTCACTTGACGATATCATTAATAACACCACAGGAGGTGTCATAGCAGAGCTTTTAGGTTTCTTATGTCTCCAACATCTCTTGTTAAACATATAGCTATGTGGGGGTTTTCTACTGCAGTAGTTACCACAGAATCTCTTCTTATCCTTAAAGGTCATTATAATGGTATATCCGAACCATTACAACTCTGTTACAAAACTGTCAAGTCCCACTCTATATCTGCCTTTATTAAGGTCTGATGTTTTATCAATAACCAGGAAGCCAAAGTTATCTTTCCATGAAACTGCACAAATCTCTTTTAACTTATCAAAGGACATATCAGTTGTCACATGATCATTATATACATGTCTCAGGTTCCTTTCATCCTGTTTAAATAGTATGAGAAAATTACAGTTGTCTCTGATTAACTGTTTTGGAATACTACTGTATGTCTGTCCCAAGTAGAATATATCCAAATTTTTATGTCTCCCCATAGCAAAGTAACTTCTGATCATATTATGTTTCTCACAACTTATATCATCAAATATAATTATAGAGTTTTTCTTTGTATCTTTAGGATTTATAACTAATGTATTATCATCAAATTCGTGATACCCTATTTCTTCAGGCAACACTTGTTTAAGTAACTTGTATTTATCTTGATATAAAGACTTTGAGAAAACGTAAATATTTTCAAATCTTAAACCGTTTGAATCAAAAATCATATTAAACAGTATGTTGGTTTTACCACAGGAACTAGGTCCACAGATAATAGACCGGATAGAACATGGTAATAATTGACCATTTTTATAATTCTTATCTGACCCCATGCCACTAAAGATATCAAAGTTTGTGACGGGAAACTGTACATCCTGTTGCACTAACCTCATCGTTACTGATTGCACAGATTTAAGCGGATGTGTGTTTTTATACTTTAGATAACAACTACTAGGTCTTTGGTGATTTTTTACTTAACTACATCCTTGATATTTATCCAGCTATTGTGTGTTTCATCAAAACCTTTCCACTTGACAAATAATTTAGAACCCTTACGTTGTAAAACCTTCTCAACCAAAAACACATTACTCATTTTGGCCTTACTAATTTCCTCGGCATAAAAGCCACCTTTAAGGATTTCCCCTGTTGAGTCTTGTAATATATATGTAACAGGCCTTGTAGGTTTAATTGCATATACTTTGAAGATTTCATTAGTCCAGTTAGGTAGATATCCCTTTTTAAATGTCCTTCTAGCTTTACTGATTCTAACATTATCTCCTAATTGAAATTTAATTTTACCTTTAGGGTTTTTTAGTTTGTTTAGCCTTTTTAGTATCATCCTAACATGTTTTTGTTTAACATCTTTAGGCTTCATACCAATAGTCCTATGTTTACTATTGTTATACGACTTTACAATATTTGGCAAAATACTTAACCACTCGTAACTTCCACGAGCAGTAAATAACTTATACATTTTATTCTTAAGAGATTTATTATATCTCTCACATATTGACGCCTTCATTTCTGAGAATGTATGGTAATGATTTATGTTATACTCTTTCATCAGCCTATTAATATGAATATTAAAAAATTCTTTTCCTTGATCAGTTTGAAAATTTTTCATTTTATATTTAGCTAGTATAGGTTCAAGTGCTTTAGCAACTACAGGACCTGACTTGTCCTTTAAAGGTATAGCAAAACCTAACTTGGAAAAACAGTTGATGATTGTCATAATATAGCGGTACCCCTTGTTTAACTTTGCATATGGCTGCATTTCTACTATATCAGCCTGGTACAAGTCATTTATTCCCTTAAGAGTTACATTACGACTAGTATAGTTTTTCCTAACGGGTTTGTGTAGTTCTTCTGCTATGCCTTCCATAGTGGAAATGATGTATTCTTACACCTCTTTTAGCTTTATATTAGATAGAGTTTTAAACTATCCCCTCATTAAGTGAACCCGGTTAAGCATTTATAGCCCTAACAGTGTTAGATTTCAAGAGGTTAAATTAGCAGGTTAGATTACTAACTTAAGAAAAAAATCAGCATTCAATATATATTGTTTTATTGATTCATTAAAGTTACTATAAGTTAAGTAATTCAATAAAATAATACTTTAGAGAGGAAACCACACTCAAATATAAGCCTAACAGACCTCGGTTATAAGATATACTTCAATACTCATCAAATGTAATGGTGAAAAATATATACAGTACTCATATTTTAATACATTAGTATAATATGTTTTAGTAACAAATAATATGATCAGTGTTTTTAATATAATTTGTTATAGTAAAACATTAAGTAAATTCCCTATGTCAATTAGTTAGTTTCATACAAATAATATTCCATAGTCAGAAAGATAACTCTTTGGTAAATATCTTTGATTAAATAAGGTTATCTTTACTATAGAATCGTTTTTACCTGACTTTTTATTTTATTCAATAAAATAGCTCAAAATATATTTCATTGATACTTAGTGGTAAATTAATAAACTTGTTCAACTTGAAGTTATAAAGTTATAAAAAATTGAGGTTATATCAATTTGGCAATTCAACTGACAGAAAAGCAAATGGCGACCTACACAATACATAAAGTGAGGCTATGTTATAGCTTCAATACAGTCTTAATAATGAGGGTCATAGCTAATTAATTTAGTATAAACATTAGTCTCCCTGGCACAATTCAAACTTATAACCCTAGGTTCAAACAGTTTGCCATACTAAACCATAGTTAGCTAATTATGTTTATTGTCTGTTTCAGATGGCTGCCCCTCTCCTCCTCCTCTACTAGCGCTAAGTATTTAGTTGTAGAAATATCAAAATATGTATATAATATAAATAGAAATAATTAAAAAATGATTATGTATCCATTTGCCATAATTTTGTGTTGTAATGTACTTGTCTCAAGGTGTCAAATGGAAGGAACAATTCCTATCTCCGTGACGTCAGGGGTGTACTGGCAAGTAATGCCCACGGCGGTGATATATGAGTCAACGATTCCCCTAGTGTATAAGAGTTTTTGGCCTTCTGTAGACCTAGCACAGTTAAATTTGCCAGAGAACAATGGATTCTGTGGAGGAGCCTTGAATGATCCTCAATGTACTATGTTTTCGTGGATGTTACAGGCCGACAAGCGGGTTGGTCAGCAAATCAAATGGCTGAACTCCAGTGTGGACGAGAGAACTTCGGAAACCGGTCATAGAGTGACCCGGAGTGTTAACTTTATAGGGAAATTTTCACATTGGTGTTGTGGAGTCGTTACAGAGCGACAGTTAAAACCCCTTGTCACTAATCAAAAAGTAATGCTGGGATTCGAACAGGAATTGGCGCATCAAGTGGACGAGGCGTACGAGGAGATAGAGGGTATAAACATTAATATAAAAAAATTACATATAATAATACAGACTGATGTCATTGAACAAGATTTTAGCGTACCGGTATCATTATCGTAAAAAATAAATATAGGTAAAAACCCTGCAGTTACCAAATAAGGGACTGTTTGAATACAAGTTAATGTATGAGGCGCGCCAAGATTATGTGTCAGTCTTGTTCTGCGCATGTGCTCTGTAGGCAAGCCAGCTGGCGTCGTAGTTACGACCCCAACCACCACTGCCACCGCCGCCTCCAGACCAACCACTGCTGCCCCCGCCGCCGCCACCGCCGCCTCCACTGGACCAGCCGCCACCTCCACCTCCACCGCCACCGCCGCCGCTGCTCCAACCACCTCCACCTCCACTGTCAGCTTGCCATCCACCACCTCCTCCTGCAATCAAGTTGTCGATTAATACATTAACACTAAGTCATAGGGAATGCCTCTGTGAGGAAATATTAATTTTGATAACGCGTACACATTTAACGTATAAAAACAAGGCCATGTATGCACAAATGCGTCCAAGAAACTATCTTCATTACGATACAAAAATAAGCAGCACATAACCTATGAGATGCCTAATAACCATTGCTAGCAGACATCACAAACAGTCTATTTTCTAGAAATGGTCATTGTTACATTTTACCTAATCATAAAATGTTGACTAGTGATGCTGTCAAGATGGCATGGTTAAAAATTTGGAATTGTTCTATCCCCTTTTGGATTTTCATAGGTCACATACATTTGTTATAATAATGGTTAAATTGACAGTAGCAACTATTAACTTTTAGAAAAACTCGATAAATTAAGATTACTTGATTCCATTCCGTTGCCTTGGAATACAATTAAATTCTTTTCGTTCATGGACCGTACATTCTGCTTCCATGTTTAAAATATTTGCCAATTTGTGGCATGTCAGCAGTTACAAATATTTTTGGGAAGTAAACTATCAAAAAATAATCAGTATAATAATGACAAAACGAACTAAACAGTATATTCAAGTATATGAAGAATGATGTTTTTATGTTACATCGTACCCAATATTTTATCAAAATATAAAAGACAGCTGAAATGATAAAGATTGCTAAGCGGGTTGAAATGTGCTTGGGTAAGCGAGTTCACACAAGGAAAGTGAATGAAGCGTGGACTTGTAATTACAGTCCCACTGTCCATACTTTTTCTAAATGGGTGTTTTCTATAATGAATTTTATATTGGGTCACAATAAGTGAGTAAGAAGTATGATATCCCAAATCCCTGAAAACATTGACTATATAAGCTTCAATAATATAGCCTAACAGTACCATAAAACATTGACCATATAAGCTTCAGTACCGGTAACATAGCCTAACAGTACCATAAAACATTGATATAAGCTTCAGTAATATATCCTAACAGTACCATAAAACATTGACTATATAAGCTTCAATAATATAGCCTAACAGTACCATAAAACATTGACTATATAAGCTTCAGTAATATAGCCTAACAGTACCATAAAACATTGACTATATAAGCTTCAGTAATATAGCCCAACAGTACCATAAAACATTGACTATATAAGCTTCAATAATATAGCCTAACAGTACCATAAAACATTGACTATAAGCTTCAGTAATATAGCCTAACAGTACCATAAACATTGACTATATAAGCTTCAGTAATATATCCTAACAGAACCTTAAACACAAATGTTATTATTATTATTTCGTCTCTCACGAGTCACGACTAATTTGCTATATTTAAGTTCACAGTATTTTATATATTACCAAAATTAATCCAGTCGTTTTAGGTAAAAATAGCCCTCTACCTGGAAATAATTCCCAAAATGGTGGAACTTTTCACATGTGTAGTAATAGTACCCAGTAACAACATACAGTATTAATAATCAACATTCGTGCATGGTGTGTTACGGCCGCCATGTTGGAGAATGGCTGCTGATTTTCATTTTTTACCCAAATTTCACTAACCGTCAGAAATGCAGAAGTTTTATTCAAACAAAAGTTAAAGAACACACAACAACACATATTTTCAGTTCTTACTCTCTAACGGTTATTGAGGAAAACCTAAATTAATATTAAATCCAAACTTCCCATGTTATTCTTATGGAGAGTAAGAACACTGTAGTTTTCTTGTTTATGGATGCATTTTGATCAAACTTGGCAATTTTTTGTATTTCATACTAATGTATTAATATTTTAATAAAACACACTTTATCATCCTCCCTGTACATCTTTATAGACCTTACGGCATTTGGCCTATCCCTAATGGTTACTGAGAAAGATTTAAAACTAATCTGAACAAAACAAGAATTTTGTTTGATTCCTAGCAGTTTACTTTTGTCTCAAGCAAATCTTACATCGCAGTGGCCGTGACGTGAAAATCCTTTTACAGCAGGCTTTAAATATAAAAGGTATACATTTAAAAAATACAAAGCTATAAAAAAAACTAAAAACATGAAACCGGTAGTAATAACGTACCATGTCAGTGGTTACTATGGCAAGATGTGGCTTCAAACTTAAATACTAATCAACAAAAAGATTTGTTAAAATGTATAAAAAATGAACTTACATTAGCCTAATTGGATTTTTACCTAAATAAAAATGTCAGATTGATTTCCCATTTAAATAACAACATCATATGTTAACGAGTACTTAGGTTTGCTGCTAAAGAGAGAGTAATAAAGTGTGTTTTAAGTAAAATGTTAATTGCTAATCATATAATAAAATGTTACAAGTTTCATCAAAAGATAAAACACAATAAACAAACTGCAACAGTTTACTTATACTCCATAAGAATAACATGGGCAGTTTAGTTTAATATCAACTTCGGGTTTTATCAGTAACCGTTAGAGATAGGACAAATATTGTAAGGACTAAAAAGATCTATTCTTCTGTGCCATTTAACGTTTGCTTGTACAAAACATCTAGATTTCCAATGTTTAGTGAAATATGGTCAAAAAGTGAAAATTGGCCGCCATTTTCCTAGATGCACATGTTTTTCATTACACACATGTTTGTAGCACAGCATGCAGGAACGTTGATGTTTAGTATGTTGTTACTGGGTACTAGTACTACCATATGCAAAGTTTCCCCGTTTAGGGAATTATTTCCACCTAAAACCCTAATATGACAGGACTAAATATTCATATGCAAACTTGTAATTGTAACTCAAAATATATGGTAGAAAGTACTCTATAAAATACTAAGTTTGAACGGTAAAATGAGTCTAATTCATCAAATCCAATAAATAAGAAAACCCTAGAAGTATTGATAGCATAATATGGGGAAAATAATCTGTCTCTGAAAAAATATATTCTGATTAAAAAAAGGCAGTCTAGATTTGCTTTAAGTAATGAAGACCCACGGCAACCTCTCATCGATGACAACATTATTCCTTGTTAATACAAGGATGTGCTTTGTGCAGTTCAAGTGAGGTGTAAGAAGCTATAAAGTGTTGTGTGTATGAAGAAGGCTGACCTCCGCTGCTCCAGCCGCCCCCGCCGCCTCCAATGCCTCCGCTGCTGTCAGACCATCCGCCGCCTCCACTCGGGGGACTGCCGTGTCCGCCGCCACCCTTGCCTGCCTTTATAATGATGTAGGTCTCCTTGCCACCCCCCTTACCTCCGCCGCTGTTCTTGAGTGACTTGAACAGCTGTATCTTCGCCAACGCCAGGGCCACGATACTCAGCAGCAGCGCCTTGATGGCCTTGAACTTGATAATCAACATCATCATCTTGCCCAGCATCGCCGCCTTGGCCATCATCATCGCGCCCATCATCATCATTTGCTTCTTCTTTTTACCACGTGCTGGAAAAACAAAACAAACTCTTAAGTAAAAGAAAACAACGGATGCAAATTTATCATGATTTAATTTGGGAACTAGGTATTGACCTTGACCTTGTCAGTCGGCTTCGCTCTGGCTGAAAGGGCAAGTGACACAAGAGATTTGATCAAGTTCTTAATAACTCATTATAATTATTTACCTAAGCAGGACATGGTATTGAAAATCTAAATCGTAATAAAGTGAGTACGATTTTCAGGTAGCACGTCTAACTTTTTTCGTCGATCGATTTTCTTCGTTTCTAGCCTAAGTATGTGCTACATATTCTAGCCGCATATTTATTGCATACAATACATTTTTAAATATTGAGCAATCATGATTATACAAGTTAAGCATAATAAAAACCAACAAATTAAATCCGAGAAGGTAAAAAATAATAATTAAGTAAGATCAACAAAACAGATGTAAGACGTGTACCTTCCTCATAGGCACGGCCAAGGTTGATCTCGAAGGAGTCGCCTAGCGCTCGTCCTCCTGACGTCACTGACAGACCTTCCGGTAAACTGAACCTCAGCACGTGGTTGCTGAGGAAGCTGAAGAAGCTGTGCTGCAGCAGAGCGCCTACCTCAGACTCCTGGCCTGAGGTTATTATATGTGTAAAATATGTATATAATATAAATAGAAATAATATAAGTTTGTATATATAAATAAATTCATATTTAGCTTTCACAGTTGTTTTCATTATTCTTTCAACTAAATATCCAACATGTTTTAAAATTACATAATCTAATAGGGGTTGCAGTCCACCAGCTAAAACAACCAGTAGAAAAATTGGCGGGAAAGCAGATAATACAATACATAAAGCTAGGTTATGTTACATACAAAATCACATAAGCGGCTAACAATAGTTGGCAGCACTAGTGCTGCAACCTAGTAGAGAATTTATGAACTAATACCTCAACTCAGAGTAATAAATTAATAGATTTGTCTAGGTTAAAAGTGAGGTTATGTTACATATACACAAAATCAAACCTTCAGAACTCATATACCAACGGTTAACTATACCTTGAAACAACATATCACCAAAAATAACACATTTAGTGATTGGTAAGAGTTGAACCCGTAAACCTCTAAGATTCACACTACAATACAATACTATACAAAAAACTACCTAAAGTAACTCATTTAGCATAAATTAGATGTAAGTTTAACATAATATATTTGGTGACCTTTACAAAGGCCATTTTTATACTCAGTGGTAAACTTAAGCCTTCTTTCAGCAGTTTTTAACATCAGATACAATTTTCATTTGTTTCATCACACTATAGCATATATAGAATAACCTCCAATACTACTACACATTTAACATTCTTTTATGATCAACGGTAAAATTCCACTTAAGCCCTCTTTCAACTGATTTATATTTATTATACACTATAAAATAACCTCCAACATTTACCAATTATGATCAACAGTAAGGTTTAAGCATTATACACTATATAGAATAGTTTTTTACAAATCCTACTAGGATAGGATTGAACCCGTGAACCTCTAAACCAAGTGACATAATCAGCTGAAATAAACAGCTGTGGTTAGATTACATCTGGCATTGAACCCGTGAACCTCTAATAACATGTTTTGTGATTGGTTAGATTCGAACCCATGAACCTCTAAACTAGATGATCAGCTGAAATAAACAGTTGTGGTTGGTTAGAATTGAACCCGTGAACCTCCAATAATAGGTTAGAATTGAACCCTTAGACCTCCAACCAAGACAGGATTGAACCCGTGAACCTCTAGCATAGGCTAGGATTGAACCCATAGACCTCTAAATGATAGGTTAGGATTGAACCCGTGAACCTCTAGCATAGGTTAGGATTGAACCCGTGAACCTCTAGCATAGGTTAGGATTGAACCCGTGAACCTCTAGTATAAGGTTAGGTTTGAACTCATAGACCTATAAATGATAGGTTAGATTCGAACCCTTGAACCTCACACTACCCTTAATATGTTAAAATCAAACCTCCAATACACACCCTGTAGGTACATAAATACAAAGTAAGGTGTCATTTACCACCCTATATATAAGTTAAGGTGTCATTTACCACTATAAACTCTATACCCATAAGTGCTGTTGTAGCTCAACCAGCTAACGCATACAACTACCAATAAAAAGACCCGAGTTCGATCCTCGGTCAGGCCAACACTTTTTATCCATAATTTAATATTTAATATTTAATACAAACACCTACTGACGTCACGTGATCAGCTGATTATGCGCATTCGAGATAAACAGCTGAGAGTACCCTATCTACACCTAGATCATCTCAAGGTCAATTTCTGCCAGATCGCTGGGTAGCCTACTATGATTGCCATCTCAAAGTGGTAGCTAATAGAAATGGCGGCCAATCCAAGATGGCGGATGTCGAGTTTTAGAAAACCAGCTATATCTCCGGAACTATCCACCCTATTTCATTGTTTCTTTTTTTAAACTTAAGCTCCATATATGTGCTACAAATGTCGTCATATACACTAGTTCGATAAAATTAACCGTTAGTTAGTAATAAAGGGAATATTAATTGTTTTTCTAATTTTTATGTCAAAACCAATTTTATTAATAGATTATTTAAGAGTTATATGTACATTCAAGCTATAAAACAGACTACATATGTAGTGTAATAAATTCTCTTCATCTTGATATATTACAAGTAAGTATCTGATAGCATAACACCGAAAAATCACTTTAATGTCGTAACGTCTAAACAAAAATTTAAAGTAATCTTTGTCACTTTCAGAAGATTCGTTCAAATTAAAATCTGCGTTTTCTTCCTCTTGTTCGGTATAGTGTTTTCACAATTTGACAGTCTACACGCATTAGAGCACTTTAGATTGTTAACCATGCAAGAACATGATGGAACTTGGCACGACTTTTATTATACATCGATGCTTTAAACAGGAGCATCTTAGGAGTTCTACGACTGCTTCAGGTGCTGGTGCTCCAGCCATCCACTTGATTTTTAGCTCACCATCCTCGTCTAGCATCCATCCATGATTCTCAGGTGGTGGGATTTCAGGAAAACTATTCAAACATTGCTTTCAAATAGCTTTTTGATAATTAGCTCGTTTAGAATGTTGATTTAAGCAATCTTGACATGGAGGAAGTTGAGCTGAGTCCACTTGACCTCGCCGACTTTGAAACATGTAAGTTCGTCTACGTTTTCTATTTTGGTGTTTCTTGAATACAACTTACAGGTGAACATGTTGATTAAATTTTAAATTTTGGTCATAATTCGTCAGGGCAGACTCATTTCCAAGCTGTGAAAACAGTAACCATCCAAGCTGACATTCAAGCTGTTGCAAAATTTTACAGGGTGAATAAAAAGTCAAGACCCCCTTCTCTAATATTTTTCTAAGTAGATACAGAGACATCCTTTTGGAGGTCTTGCAATCTTAGCAGAAAGTTTCATTTTATGATTTAGAAATTTTGAGTGGAAAGGGGGGGGGGGTTTGGGGGCAACTCAAAAATTTTAAATGTTAACACCCTTTAAGTGACACCTCATTTTGAAGTGTTTAAAAAACTTAAAGAATGGTGGAAATCAGAGTTCGCTATCTCTCCTCTGTCCAAAATGGTAGCCAGTATTACAATTACGAACCAATATTACCATTGATTTTCCATAATATTTAACGGACTACCATTTTGGATAGAGATGAAATAGCAAACTCCGGTCTTCACCATTCTTTAAGCTTTTGTAAAAACTGTTAAATAAGGTGTCACTTGAAGGGGGTTTACATTCAAAAAATTTTGGTTGTCCCCGAAATCCCCCCCTTTTTAGGGGACATTAAACAATTTCAAAATCATAAAATGAAACTTCATGCTAAGATTAAACGACCACCAAATATCTCTGTATATTTACTAAGAAAATATTAGAGAGGGGGGTATATTGCTTTGTAACAGTTTCAATGCTTTGAGCTTTCCTTGTCCTGAAAACGCACCCACAGTGTCACAGCCAGTCCACGCATGTAACCCAGGGAAAGCTGATTTGACACTACAGCCAACCACAGATGCTAGTCTTGTTATGTGATTCGGCCACTAGAACCGCGTCTTATATACAGGTTATTCTTTATGTTGATGTCGGATGATATGTAGAGAGCTTATGACTAACACGTCTGTATCATCAGATACACAAATGAAATTTGGAAATTCCATAGCAGGGTCCTTTATACGTAGCATCATACGTGTATCCGCTTCTTCTTGAGAACAGGCAATTTTGTGTACTTCTTGAAAACCACTGCAAGTTATTTTAATACACTTGTTAGAGGAAGTTACGTGTAATGTATTGTTACCAATTTTAATCCTTTTACTTTCTTCTTGCCAGCTTTCAGCAAAAAACTTGGTTTATTTATATTTTACTGTCACCACTTTGTAGAAGACTTCTCTATTTTATGATTCTGGGGGGTGTCTTTAACATTTAAAACATAGAAAGCCGGTATGTATTAAGCAAAAGTTGTATTTTTGTTTCAGCTTTAACAGTAAAAACAGTAAAAAAGTTCCCTGTTTTCTGGTATTCAAACCACTAAAACAAACAACAGAATTTCTAAACCTCAATAGTGTAGCATATGGTTGGAAAGCTTATAAAATGGCGCAGTTTTTAACATATTCGGACACTTTCTTGTATACAGGGTGTGAAAAAATACAATAGACCAATGTTTTTTAAATTTTTTTCAAACATCTTAATTTTTATCTTTGAATCTATTTACAATGGAGTTTTTACAACTGATACTCCGTCATTTTATATTATTCTTATTCAAAATTTAATGTAGAACACGAAAATGACATTGTCTACTCAAATCCATTTACAGGTAACTGAGAAATAGCTGTATTAAGTTTGAAAACATAGTTATTTTTGAAAAACATAAAATCATTCTTTGGGAAGCTAATTTTTGGACTTGGAACCTTTTATATGCATCATTACACTGTATTTACTTAGTACTTACGCCAAAAAAATTTTGTAACACTGATGACCAGCCACCCTTTATATATATATGTTCGTTAGCGCGATAACTCGAGCAAAAATGATCCGAATTTGATGAAATTCAATACATTGAATACAAATTGAATACAAACGTGTAAACCTACGTTTATTCGAACAAATTCGCAAACCAGCATATTGGACCATGGGAACGGGGTTTATGGGTTAAAAGTGGGGGTTTCCCATTTTTGACCCTGAAAACAAAATATTTTGCAATTTTTTTAACCCGTTTTGTCGAGATTAAAAAAAGAAATATTTTAGTATATTGAAGCGTTTTTGTATGCCTAACGGTCACAGGGAAAATCCAAAAATAGTGTAATTTAAATTCCCATGTTATTCTTATGGAGAAAATGAAAACTGTCTTGTAGTTTACTTGTTTATGGATATATATTGATAAAATTCGGCAAATTTATTTATTTCATCCTATACTATTGACGTATGGCCAAAAAATACTTTTTACCTTCCCCGTAGCAGCAAACCTAAGCACTCACTAAATCTAATTTTTATTTAAATTGGGAATAATTATGTCTTATTTATGGAAATGTTGTTTCTTCCGGGCAGCAAAAACCGAAGGGTATATTATAGAAATGTATACTTAAAAACAAGATA